GATTGATGGAGAAAATCATCAAAATATTTTCTGTATTCGTGTACCACTCAAATTAGTACTTGTTGTTTTATTGATTTCCCCATCATTTTGAATTTCATTTGAAACTTGGGATATGAGCTAATTACCTATGAGACACGCGTGTTTGCCAGCTTGTCTGACCGTCTTTATATTTTCTGACGCTCTTGTCGAATTGACATCATGTCGCGCGTAATTCGCGAAACCTTTATGCTTTTCACTGCAGTTTTGCAGTACTTCTTGTTTACAAAAAGTACTTACCCTTAACGCTTTCCATCGAATTCAATTGGAAAAACTGTTTCTTCTTTGTCTTAATCTTAATACGTGTTTTTCCTTTTACAGATTGCTCCGCGTCAAAAGATTCGTTTTCCGATAAACGATTTGATAACAGTCTAGTATTCCAAACCTTAAACATCACCGCTAAATTCGCTCATTAGACGAGACCTGAGCCATATAAATGTTTCTTCAGTGTCACTCACGACAGTTGAACGGATGAGGATTCGGTTTTTTGTGCTCGAAACCATCTGATTAGCGGTCTTTGCAGGCACAGTGCTACTAGTACACAAAACAGAAGTAAAAATACCAAACTTTTTGTTTATATCATAAAGATGGTTTCTACATGTGGCGTTTCGATTTAAAACATAAATAAGGAAAACACTGATAAATAAAAAGATTATAATAGTATGGTTATTCGATTGAAGTAGAGATGTAGCACCATTGATCATTCTTGTGTTTCTTGAAAGTAACAATGCTTCGCTATCATTGATCAAAACTGACGAGGTACTGTTACTGATCATTGTTGCTCCATCTATTAGTAGTGGACGACTGGGACCGGGCAAACAACCATATTGAGGGTGTTCCATTGCTCCAGACTGACAGGGCCTGTCACCAAAATACCATTTCGATTGTGCTGTTCTGTGGCTTTACGAGCTTCTTCTTCAATACGTTGATCATCGGCTATATTTGGATCTTTGTTGGTCGAATAATCGACATTGGTCGGATCAAAACAATAGCCTGGTATGCTTGGAGGTCGTACCAGACTGTTATCCTTCCACACGTATCCCAGTTCAAGAAATGATGCCATTGGATTCATGTAGACAAACCTATTAGAAAGCCATGGCCTTCTAATAGGGCGTTTGAACTTTTGTCCGAGCATGGCCTTATACAGGGGGTGGTCTTCTAATATAGGGTGGCCGTCTATTCTGGGGGGGGGGTTATAATATTTGACTCATAATTTTAATACAAACTGGAAATAAACGCTGAAAAGAAGAGAACGATTGAAACGTACATTTGCCATTAAAATATTTTGATAAAGCGGTAATATTGGCAAAACGTAGTAAGAAATCTGCGACAAACATGATTAATACAAATCACAGTACTGTTATTTTGATTTATTATTGATATTTCGACGACGTTCACTCGTCATCATCAGAATAAAGGAATGACGCCAGATTTGATTCAATAAGAGTACAAAAAAGAAAAGAACAAGAAATTAGGTAACTGACGAGGGAAGTCCACCAACTTGAAAATCGTTTGAATCGTGATATCTCGGCATACTGCCGGATAATGTTTCTGAGTTTTTACCATAAAAGAATTTTGAAAGGCATTCACAATATATCCGCAGATTCGTTTGTAGATTGCTTACAAAGGCTTACTGTAAAGTTTTTCGAGCACCGCTAAGCGAAATGTGGCAAATATACAGATGTACTAAGAAATACAGGACTGCTACAAACATGATTAATATATTTTATTTATATGATAGATCATATGAATAAAAGATATCTACTAGCGAGGGATGGCCACCTACTTGAAAATCGTTTGCGAGCCAAAATCCAACGGGTCATAGGTTATCGACGGTCCTGAATCTGAATATCACCATGAGACCGGCTGCTAGGCCTTGCATGGCCTGGTTTTCCAGAAAAAAGAATTGTACGATGATTTTGCCCCTCCTGTATCAGAATTATCCCATATCAGTCTTGACTGACTTGTGTCTTGTTCACCGTTTAACCAAAATGAAGTAGTTTAACTATAGTTCATAGGACACTTAATAAGTGTCCTAAACCAACACTCATTTGACTATGTTGAACGATTTTAGGCTGGCCAGTAGTCCCTGAGGTGAAATACCTCAGAGCAGGCGTTGAGGCTTTTGAATCAAATATATCAAATTCTTTCGATGCCTCCATTGCATTTAAATACAAATTCATCCATCCAAACGGTAACCGAATAGATTTTGGATCAATAAGTCCACATATAATAGGTCTTACAGGATTTTCGATGGCTTTAATCACTTCTTCTACATTAGCTTCGTCTGTAATGATACAGTCTGTGCCGGATGCGAGTAAATGATATCGAATATCCTTAAATGTTAGTTGTGACTACATGATACAAATATAATGCCACTCATCAAACATGCTAATTTAATACCATACCATTCTTTGACACGGGGTAGGAGAACCATGACCTGAACGAAATTTTGGTCATATGATTATACTGCTCAGAATAAAATTATTGTCCATATAAGGAAGAATGATATATGGATGTTTTTGAATAACTTTTGAATGGTGAAAGCTTGACAGCTGGAATTGTGAAGTATGGAAAGAAGACATTATAAAGCATTTTGTATGAACTGTTTTCGTCAGAAGAACAAATTTCCCGAGACCACAAGGACTGCTTTGTCTTTCGGTATGGAACCCTCAGAAATGCGTAAAAACCTAGATTATCGACTATACTAAGTGTTGTTGCAATGTTTGCTTTTGAAAAAAGTTTAGAAACCTAGTGGAAACCTATACCGGATAACATAACTCATTTTTTCCTGTTTTCGCGTAAAATTAGAAAATTCATACCTCTGTCAAGATCGATCCAAAATTTGTCAGAATATTAAGACGTACCTTTTTTCATCTATACTGTATCATGGAACTAAATAAAAGTTTTTAAAAACCAAGACAAAGTACGCTGTTTTGTAGAAAAGGCTTTCCAAAAATCTTTTATAGTAAAAGAATATTTTTTATTACTCTTCAGTAAAGAATTATATTCTGCAGATAAAATAGAATAATAATTATTCTTAATATTCTGACGCAGTGGTACGGGAAATTCGTTCTCCTGACCAAAACGAAGCTTTTGCTTAGATCCCATGTTGGAGAAGACACTTTCTTCCATCTATTGATGTAAAAAAATCTTCAGTATTTCACGTTTTTCCGTTATGCACCAGTTTTCCAAAAACTAAACGTATAGCATTATCACTCGCTGGCGATATTCTGAATAATTTTGTGTAGATTAGAAGTTATTTCTAAATTTTACTATTTTTTAACTCTGATAATGAATCGGTGATTTAAACCCGCTCAAATTAAAGTTAATTAATAAAATAAAATAAGAAATGAATTTAGATGCAATCTATGATAAAACAGAACAATACATATACCGTTCTTTTTTTGGCTGTACAATAGTAATTCTCATTTACAGTGTTTCCTGGTTTCAAATTGTAATATTTTCCTGTTAACGTATTGGCAAATCCTGAACTGTAGTCTAGTATTTCTTTGAATGTAAATTTATATTCATTATCTTTCTCACATGACCATAATGCTGTTGTTGTTGGTAATTTCATTGCCCAGTTGTGAATGATGTCTCGGACAAAATTGAAGTGTGTATACCGTACATTTAAACATTTTTCAAGATAATTTGAAAATATTTCAGAATTTGATGATTCCAATGTTTTAAATAATTCATCAAATTTGAACATTAGACGATTCTTGTTACCATTGCCACCAAGGTTGGGCCGAGCAATGGTCGTTCTCATTGAATATCTCATAACTGTCGAAATTTAAAATATAAAGTGACGGTCTATGATGCACACGACAATATCTTTTTTGCTAGGGCGTTTGTCGAATGAATAGGTTAAATATATAAATATTAATAAAGATATATCTTCGTATTATTTTAACGTATATATACACTCTTTATACCTAAGTGTATGATGTCATAAATATAATCAACTTTCTACTATTTAGGAAGTAGGGAATATACCAACATTTTAATAACTAATTTTGTTGTATATTCAAAACGTTACTACGCTAATAACGACTTAAATTTATTCTATTCTTTCTGTAGGTTGTCAGGATAGATGCACTTGTAATCAGACACGCCAACAGTGTGGTCCCATATCCCGATTGAATTGTATATCACGATTCGAAAATGTGTCTCATTTCAGCTATATTTTTCTGTATATTTTGAATCAGGATATTATTTCATGTCCCAAGCGGCATATATGAATGTCGTTTTTAGCTCAAACAGGATATCCTGTTGTCACGGAAATTGGTGGAGAGATATTCACGAGATTTATAAATCATCTGTCGAATTTTGATTTTACCAACTAACAATTATTCATACGAAGTATGAATAACTATGTGCATACCTATGAATAACTACCCAGGCAGACATTTTTTTAGACCAAACGCACTGCTAAACGCGTTTTTTTGCACTAAAAACGTGTCTGAACGCGTTTTCTTACAACTGAAACGCGTTTGGACGCGTTAATCAGTGATAAATGCGTTTAAATACGTTAGAATGAAACGCGTTTAGCTGCGTCAGAAACTGACGCGCTAAACCACTGTGAAAATAAACTCATTTTGCCGCGTTCAAATGACTAACACGTTCGAACGCATTCAAGTTAAGCACGTTTGGACGCGTTAATGTCTCCCAAACGCATTTGAACGCGACAGAAACAAATGCGTTTAGGTGCCTTTACTAACTAACGCATTTCGCATCATAATTCGATACCTTTAACGCAGCTGAACGCGTTTGGCAGCATTTCGTAGATGCTGCTGCTTATAATCTAACGCGGTTCATTTAAAGATGGATTTAAAGCATATTCCTTCGCAGTATAGCGAAAAGAAGGTAGATAACCAAAGGAAGTAGGACCATAAGGCTGATCAAGAAGATCAGAGAAAACGCAACTTAGTGGAATTTATTTAGTGCAAGACCTCAAGCACCTTCTGTTTTCACATACAGTAGGGACCAAAAGTCTCGCCCCACTTTTGTGTTTTGCTTATTGTATGAAAAATAAACAACATTAATTCAATATAATTATATGCGTATATAGCTGAGGAGTAGTACAACATCTGGATATACAATGCATAAATACGATGAAAGGGAGCTATCTTTTTATTTAAAAAAATTTTGCACATGAATGTGATCTATGATATTTTTATGCTAAATGTTGATGTTGGCTTGGTTTAGGGCAATCGTGATAGACATTGACTCCACGCATGAACCCTGAATGATGATAATAATTATTAATATGTTGTTTGGATATTGCATAATATGAATTGATCATTGCTATTTTAATGTTACTTTCTGATAATGGTGAATGTTGTCGAACTTTGTTTTTAAATTCAGAAAAAATTGAATTATAAAAAGGACTAATTCTTTTTGCAGAGTTTGTTGGTAGTAGTTGAATATCTATTATTTGCTCACATTGTCTTTGACGAAATATGTCTAAGGTTTTTTGTTTATTATGAATACGTGCTTTATCCATAGATAAATATATGGGATATATGTCCAGCGTGTGAGACTTTTGTCCGCTACTGTACTTCACTTTTCCATTGTTGAATAGTGTATGTGAAATCCTTCTCCTAGCGAAGAGTTTCTGGTCATTCAGTGTGTGACCAGTGTACATATAGATAGAGATGCACAAGACCTCGAAATTCGACTGTGTTCGAACTTTCGCAGTAACTCAGTAATTACTTTCATCCGAGCCTCCCGGTCACTAGTTCGAAAAATAAAAAGTGATTTTAAGGCTATTTTACTTCGAGCAAAATGAAAGATCTCTGTAAGCAAGAGTAAAAAACAGCTTTTCAGTAAGCTATCGATGCTCGAAACACGTACTGATGATACAGTTCATCTTTCGAGCATCTTTAGCTCAACCTGTTCTATGCTTGCTTCTTAATTCTAGGTACTCACGTTCGAACTATCGCCACAGCAGAGTAAGTTGTTTTAGTTTCTCTCTTCCTTAACTTGTGAACCTTGACATTAAGAGAGCTGTGGACGGCCGTGTGAGAGCATGAAGACTCTCTGTTCAAGTCAGCTCGATTCTGAATTTAATTTTTAATTTTTTCAAATATAAAAGTTTAGCGCGTTTAAACGCATTGGAAACTAACGCGTTTAGCAGGATGTTTTTTGCCACATTTAGGGCGTTCAAATGCGTTAAATTATAACGCGCTCTAACGCGGTGATTATCGACACTGTGAAACGCATTGATCAGTAACGCGTTTGAACGTCCGGAATGTGACAAAAAACATCCTGCTAAACGCGTTAGTTTCTATGAAAATTTAAACGCACTCTAACGCGTTTTTTTCGCAGAAAAAGTTTGCCTGGGTATTCTTACTAGTTCTCATATTTCACCGATTCTTCTATTCTGCATGAATGCACAACAGGAATGTTTAATATAGTGTAATTTTAGAAAATAAATATAAATTCGGCATTTAGCTTTATTCCTTTATTTTTAAACATAAAGATAAAATAAAGATAAATGATCCATTTACCGTTATTTTATAAAGGTAAAGGATTCATTCATATTTATCCATTATTATAAATGAATAATAAAACTAAATTAACACACCTAGTGTGCAATACCATTTAAATTGTTAGTTGGAAAAAACAAACTTCAACAAATAATGTATAAATCTTGTCACTTTAATGTCGTCAACGTCTTCGAATCGTACGTTAGGCTTATCCATTTTATCGTCTACAATATGTTGTTGTGACGCACAATGGATAATCAACTCTAATTATTCAAAACGAGGCTTATGATAGTCCAATGGAAGCTGTGAATTCGGTGAAGTCATCAGAATTCGAAGAGTGAATCGTCCAGTACAACAAAGCAGAGTAAGCTGTTCGAAGAATTTTATGAAGAGTATACGATAGGGAGACTGTTTAACTCACGATAGTTCATCGAGTTCATGTGTTTTAATGAAATCCTATGAACTAACAGAAACTACTTTGGTTTCTAGAAAGGTTTCCAGAAAACTTCGGAACTAAAAGAATAGTTATTATTGATTTTACGTACAGAATCAGAATGAGCGGATAAAATATAGCATTTACTGACATTCTGCAGTTGGATGGACGGATCTTGACTGAGTTATGAAGTTTTTAATTTTTGATTAAAATAATGAAAAATGGGTTATCTCACCTAGTGAGTTATATACCATTAACTGCCACCTTTAAAAATGATAAATGCGATCACAGTTGTTTTGTTTTTCTTGTATTATATCATTTGAACCGCTGACTAATATTGCCACTGATTAATTATGATGTGTGATCACTCCCTCACAATACCAGTAACAAAATAAACCAGGGCCGTGAGCAAATGATAAACAGTACATTGATTAACACTGTAGTTTTCATCCCTATGTGCATTTGTCAAAGCAATATTCCAAAATCTCAGATCACCAGCTATGTTTCAAATCGTTTTCAAGACAGCTCATTATTGTTCGATGTCTAGTATTAACCAATTTACTGTTAGCATTAGCTCCGGAACCATAGGTTTTCAAGATGTAGCTTAGATCCAGTTTTCTAGAGGACACTTGAGACTATATATGCCCCCCTAGGTCAATAGATACCTAATCGAATTTCGAAAATCTAAGCTAGTTTCCCAAAGATTCTCTGAAAAACCGGCTTCGAAAATTCTTCCAAAAATCCGCTTTGCTTGTGGAAAGATAGTCTCAAGTTTTGTCTATCAAATGATGAAAACCGGAAGTCACTATCTTTATTTGATGCTGAGTTATTAAAAAATAACCACTACTCTTATATTTTGGCTCCGATAGTTGTCCTAGTACGATTAAGGACTCATCTGAATTCACAAATTTGGTTAAACACTTTTTCAAGCTCATATCTAAAATTAAAAATAATTCCGTTTGACATTAAAAATTTATTTGCTTTGCTTATACGATAAATCTCATCATTCAAAAGTTATACGGCATATGTAAGTCATCTTGCATGATTTTCAGTCATTTTTGTCTATGTCTTTTTGAAACTATTCATCAAAAAATGAATCTTATGATGGAATTATCATCAGGAATTATCAGCTCAGTATTTCCACAGTAATATTTTCAGTTTTCATCGATAAGAATTAATCTGTTTTTAAAAGAGTCCTCGTTCAATTCTCTACAAAAATCCTTTTATGGAATTCTTACGAAGGAAAGTCTTGACATTTCTTCGTTGGCGTTGACATGTACACTAAAATAAGTTTTCTGGTATTTAAAGTATACTCTTTCTTTCTTTTTCTTTTTTTTAATCATAAAAGACAATGCACAGGATACATTGAGTTAGTAGCATAATTTTATGAATTATTAATCCTCAAAGCTTTTAAAGATTTTTGATAGAGTCAGATAGACGATACGTGAAATCAAAGAGAATTTCAAAGTTTTCATATGGAAACATCCGAATTATAAACGTGTATTTTAGTTTTGGTTAGAATTCGAATTAGGATGTTTACGGATATCATAGATGAGCATCGCCATTCTATTTTCATCGTTCTCTTCTCAGCAGCAAAAGCGTTTTTTCCTTCTTCATATTTCAGTCTCTTCTTTGTCTATACACACCTACCCTTTTCTTCAGTGCACACCGGGTCCTATCTCGTTATTCGTTTAATAAACAATCGAAAAACGATTTAAAAACAGAATTAAGGAAAAACTTTCACAATTTTCTTCAAGCATAGAAAGTTAGCCGCTTCTCGGGAAAACGGTCATGGCTTCATTGACTTGATTAATAAGTTCTATCCTCTTGATCAGAATGCTGTTCAGTTTCACGTGGTTAGATTGTACGTTTACAGCTTGGCGATCGAGCATCTCGGCTGTAACCACAATATCGGGCGTTCGATTCCGAATTGAGTGGTATTTTCTTCAAAAATATTTTCAAGAATTCCATTAATAAAAATACATGATTCTAGAGCAGACAATGAAGGGAAAAAGTATCGAGATTGCTATTTATTCTTTGGCATCCCACTAATAGTTGCCAAAATATTCGATTAAACAACATTCATTACACAATTAAACTTAACTCTTTTATTTTCATGTTTAATAGCATCAGTTTGTCCTGCTGAATTCTTTCTCGATACAATATCAGAGTTGTATTTGATAGATAATGTTTTAAATAGTAGTATGAGAGATCAATGTTTTCGTTTTATCTATTAAATATACAATCAGTTCTACACTCTATCACTTACTCCATATGGTTACAGAATATTCAACACAATTGTCTGATAGTTGTTCAATCAGCGTACCATTAAGTGTTAGTTGTTTAGGTATACACTCATTTTCTACTTGCATCACAGCCGTCGTGCATGACACAAGCCAGAATATAAATGAAATAATTATATGCTCGAAACTTTTCTCAAAAATCAAGTGTGGGTTAATCATACATGAGGTTTTTTTTAATTAGAAAAGAGTAAAGTATATTATTTCAAGTATAATGTATTAATACAACAAGAGGGCAGTAGAAACAAAGACACTAACACTTAACTCCTGATTAATGAGTATCTGTGTAATAAAGATGTTAGAAAAAAACTGTTTTAATTATCGGATGAGCTTCTTTCTCTCTTCTTTGAAATTGTCCTAGAATAGTACAAAGTGGTTCGCACTCTATGTTTGTTAGATTATAAAACTGAAGATTAAAAAATATTACATTGTAATTCCTCTCCCATCTTAAGTACGCGTTTTTCAGAGATTATGTTCAATCACTCAAGAATGTTTGATTGTATTAACGGTGGTAAAGACGCAAATCGTTTTGATTGTATTGTAAGTCGTTTAACCGGAAGTATATTGCTCGTAGCATCCATCATAACTCTCGTCTTCAATGTTCGCTTTATCTACTGGTCATTACATCATGATCGTTTCTGTTCGAGATATTATGCGCTTATTATCAGTATGTTTGCCAGCTCAACAAGTATGATTTTTATTACCGTGCCGCCTGTTATTTTACAATGTTTTTTATGTGGTCGCTTATGCTATCCGTTATATTGTAAACTCGAAGGCTTTTCATCGTATTTAAATGGTTGTGCATGCATGTATATGCTACTCTTGTTATCCTTTATTCGATATACATCAGTGATGCATACAACATTCATCAAGAAACTATTGGAACGACATAATTATCTAGCTGTATCACTTTGTTGGGTATTCGGACTAATTTGGGCTGTTCCGCCACTATGCGGTTGGAATCGATATGTACCCGAAGGTCTCGGATTTCATTGTGGACTTGATTGGACCGATCCTTCAACAAATAGTATCTTGTATTTTTGTTTGTCATTTGTTTTCGTCTATTTTCTCCCATTAGCTGCTCTATTCTACGTAAATATTCGTATTTATCGTACCATTCGTTATCTTATGTACGGTGGTGGCAATAATGAATCGGCTTATAAAAATCACTGGCTATTTTCAAGAATATCGTCGTCGTCGTCTACACCTTCATCAAAATTTGCATCGTTACAATTAAAAACTAATTTAGGCAGGAACCTCGCTACTGGTCGTATGACGGGCACCATCACATTCTTACAATCTGGTCAAAACGAAGCTATACACATGAAACGTGTTAAAAGTATATTAGCACGCGAATGTTCATACCTACATGATGGCAGGGATATTCGTCGACAATTAGCCGACGAATTGAGTGTAAGTATTTCAGCTCGTCTAAAACGACTGAAAATTGATCGCCGTTTTGCTGTGGCTACTGCAATTCTTGTCACTGAATATTTGTTAAGCTGGACACCGTATGCCATTATAGCCATGTTAGAAATCTTTCGCCTGATATTACCGTCTCAATATCCTGTGCTAATGACCATATGCTCATTAATAGCTAAATTGTCAGTGATCATGAATCCATGTATTTATATTCAAACGATTACAACGAGTAAATTAATGCCAACATTTCTAAAAAAATGTAAATGTCCATCGTGTCAGACAAAACGTTCTCTAACGATTAAAACCAGTGAAACTGTGAGAAGATTTGATTTTTAATAACCGCATTGCAGTTATATATTACATTCAATATATCACTGACAGATTGTTCTTGATAAAAACTTTCTTAGCTACCACTTTATGTAGGTGTATTATGTAAATATTGTCATAATTTCTATGTAGATCCATCAAAATATTCATAAATTTTTTATTAAAAATAAAGTAAGGATGAATCAGTGTTTTGTCAGTGCTGTCTTAACTGATAAGAAGCAACGCATGTAATGACTTTGTGCGCAAATAGCATATTAGAGTGGAGGATTAAATTCGATTGACTCCGCTATGGAATTACTAAGACTCTCAATAATCTGGCCGATTCTTCTTGTATATGCAACGAACAATCATGAATGGTTATTTTATTCCACTGGTCGGCATAGAACTACATTTGATTGTTTAACAGTTAATAATCTAGTACATTGTCGAAGACGTTCAATGAGTGATACATTCCCTAAAACTTGTTATAATTACACTGCTGGAACATTGACATTCTCCATTTTAAAGTTAAATAACATAACAGCAAAGGTATTGCCTGACTGGTTATTTCCACTTGATGTTGCTGATCGTTATGCACAATACTTGCAGAATTCAGAAATAGAATTGATCAATTTTATTTACAACTATTCACAAGGATATGTTGGTTCAACATGCCATCACGAACGTTTTTATCAAGAACAATGTGTCAGTAATTTATTAAATGAACAAATACATAACCCGCTACAAAGGCTTCGTGAATTTCCAGTATGTTTTATCGATATAAAATGTAATAGAGGTTTAATGTGTTTAGACGGGCGAAATATTTGTGATGGTATTCCAGAATGTGATAATGCTATCGATAACCAAACAAACGATAAAGCTGCTATTTTTTTGTCCATTAATGAATGTGAAATGAATGAGTAGCGATGTAAAAATGGCATGTGTCTTCCAGATCAATTGTTATTTGATACGAAAATGGATTGTATGGATTTATCCGATGAATAAAATACGAAAGCTGTTGAATTATTAACAAAATGTTTAACCAGAGTCGTTAGTGATTGTGATGAACATTTATGTGCTAAAGATAAATTTTCATGTGGTGATGGTGAACGCATTCATTATATTAATTTGTTTAAGCACAAATTCATGTCATCATATTCAGAATATGCATTTTCGTTGTGAAACTGCTGCAGAGCCGTGTGTATTGTCAGCATTAGAAGAAGGGACATGTAAAATTCACTATTCAAAGGAAGAGTTAGACCAGTGCTCATTTGCTGTAAAAGGTTTGATGCCTGGTAGAGGTGGCAATTCAGGTTTCTGTCAATAATTTGAGAGAAAATTGTAATGAAATCATCCTTTATCCTAATAATACGCTATTTTCACCTTATTTAACTATTGCATGCAACAAATCAGCGATTCTACTCGAATATTTACATGGAAACCATTATAAAAGAACTAAAAATCGAACACCACACTAATATTATTTTAAAGGTCACGCATTATGTGATAATGTATCACATACCATTGATAAATATCAATATTTAAATCCCATTGATTTTCAAAAATTCTCCTATTGACCACTACACTACTTATTTTGTCATAATAAATCATCATCTGTGATATCTCTAAAGACATCTTGTTAATGTAAGCAATCGAAAGAGATCATTGCATTACACCATATTAATGACGGATATTACGATTGTCTATTTAAAGATGATGAAATGAAGTCTCTATTTAATGAATAAAAAACATCGTTATCAATGTGCATCAATGAGTTCAATTCAGTATGTAAGTGTTCAACAATTAGAGGATGGGCGTGAAACTTGTCTTGATGATTCAGATGAATTATCTTCAACGGTTGATTGGCAATTTTTACAATGTGATTCCGAAGATAATTATGCATGTGAATCATTACGAAGTGACGATAGAATAAAAAAGTGTTAAACTTTTATTTCATCGACATCGTCATTCGATATGGGATGCACGAAATGGAAATGATGAAAAAATTGCACAGAATGGATTGTAAATTGAACACTATTCAGTGTAAGATGACTGGTTAATATATAAGTCCAAAGTGGACTTGTGACAGTGAGTGGGATTGTGCAGATGGTTAGGACGAGATGAACGTAAAATAATCGCATGTCAAGATAGATTACCGTTAGGTGATCGTTTTCGATGCGAAAATGGTACATGTATAAATTATGATCAGGTTTGCGATGGCGTGAATGATTGTACGGAAAAATATGACGAAAAAATATGGTACTGGCATAGTTCAAATTGTTCAGTATTCACTTGTTTAAGCGGAAATTGTATTAATAAACGTTGTACATCAAATCAGACATGTTTCCATGGTGAACATCTGCTCTGGTGTCCCAATTCAACAACGTCGAAAAGTAAATCAAAAATGTGCTTATTACATTTGTGCAAAAGTGGGTTGTAGATATCGCTGGAGTGTGTTACGAGACTAATCTCGGATTGTTTAACTTACTGGATGAAGTATGCAACTCGAAAGAAGAGGCAAACATTTTGTCTGAGAATATAGTATAGAAATATAACTAAAGGGTGGTCCAAAAGTTTCGACCCCCCCTCTGTAAATGGACGTTATCTATATGAATAAATATATAGTTAGTTGGTTATAATATATCATTGTGTAGATAAACATTAGAGCTATCATCTAAAAAAGACGTTTGAATTGCAAATTGCGTACATGTGGTGCAAAGTTAAGGTCATTTTATTAATTTTGAAAAAAACATTTTCATCTTACATTTTTAAAAAAATAAAAATGTTCGTGTATGAAAGTTGCAAAGAAATTCATAAGTTTGTACTGAGCAGGTATGTTACAAACCCAAACCCAAGCGACTTGGGTGTATTGGGTTTGGGTTTGAGTAACCAAGTCTCGGACTTGGGTTTGGATATTGGATACCGAAGTCTCGGAATTGGGTTTGGGCCAGTTACCAAAGTACATTAATATTCTTCTTCAATGAAACTTATTAGTAGTACCTTACGATCTTCTGCCGTACTATTCATTTATCTTTTTCTCTTCAGCGTCGCTGTTTTCGCTTCCAAAAATTCACTTTTTTTCTTTAGTTTTCCCTATTCTTTTGTATCATTTTTTATAGTGTTCACTGATCATTTGTTAACATATTAGTGGTATGTTACCAGTGCTTATCTTTTTAGTATTTTTCTCAGTTTCAAGAATGAAAATGATGTGAGCAAGATAAGTAGAATAAGAAATTCAACTGTTGGACATTTGAACTAATCCAAAATGAGCTCTTGTCGCTAGCATAAGACATTATGTATGTCCACAAGCCGAAATACACATCTTACATCCTGTTTTCTCAAAGAGCCACAACAAAAGCAGGTAACTCAGCTAAACGGAGGCTTTTAATAACTCAAGTCTGACCCAATACCCAAGCCCCAGTCTCATACTTAGATACCCAAATCCAAACCCAAGTCAGAGACTTGGGTATCTCAAACCCAAACCCAGTTCTTTGGTTGGGTTTGGGTTTGTCACATCCCTAGTATTGAGTTGTAAGCAAAACGTATGTTCTTATGCTCCCAGGTGTTGTCTTTCTTTTGTGTATCATACATTCGCTTTGAAAATGTTTTTCTACATAGAGAAGAAATACATGAACATTTCTTTGTATACAGCAAAAGTAAAAGTATATAGATGAAGTACAGCAACCTTGACCACTTCTCAACCAAAAAGTCAGGTTTTTCAGTTTCATTGCTTTTTGTTTTACGAAACAAAGATAAGAAGATGGCCATTTTGTAGCTCTTAAACAGCCCTATTAAGTGGCTATATTTAAAACTCTTCAGAGTCACAAGCAGTTGACGAAGAACTTTTTCTTTTTTCAATGTGGCTAAAAATGATCATTTTTAAACTGCAGTTTTGAAAATGGAGCTACACATGTGTTCTAGATCCTGATCGCATATAACGTATCCGTTCTAGAAATCCATAAGACTGATTACTACATTGGCGCTACCGAATTTTGCAAATCTATCTAGTTTTTTGGGGTCAAGCCATAGCGTCCTCATCCTTACGCCATTCGAATCGCGATTTCCTGCGCGACAAACTAATGTTTGGGTTTTTTAATATTACTTTCCTGTGCTGAGAAAATTCACTTTTTCTAAATCAGAGACAAAAAAGTTGTCATTCGGTAGCTCATAGTGGCTAGTCAACATCCACGTGTGCCATAGATTTCACTCCCTCGTACTAGTATTTTATTTCATGAGATATATTCAGCTGTCTAATTTTCAACGCGTCAAAATTATTCACCCACCTATGGAAAACATCTTTTTCTACAACGTAGGTACAAATGTCCAAGAGTCTGGTAACGAGTTGAATAGCCTTTCATCTTGATACATTCATTCAATCTACTGGGAACCAATCCAACTAACTTTGCTAAGACTGGTAGTTCAATCTTGTTCCATTCCTCTACCAGATGCAACGCCAACTCTGCCTTGTTTTTTGGCTGACGTTTCTTGACACGATCTTCCAATACGTCCCACAAATGTTCAATAGGATTTAAATCCGGAGACGAAGATGGCCATTGCAAAACTCTAACCCCATTATTTCTTAACCAACTCCTGACCAATGCCAAGGTGTGCTTAGGATCGTTGTCATGCATAAACGTGAAATTCGTTCCAAGGCTCAGTTGTTGTATGGATGGTATCAGATTCTTCTTCAGTATTTCTCGATAATAAAAGCGGTCCATGATACGATCCAAAATGTACAACTTCCCAACTCCTTTCTCCGTAAAACAACCCCATACTATCACAGAGCCGCCTCCATACTTGACTGTTGGTAGAGTACATTTAGGATCGAATTCTTCCTTCCGACTTCTCCACACCACCCCCTTTCCATCTGAACCAAATAAGTTGAACTTTGATTCGTCTGACCAGACAACAGTATCCCAGTAATCAAATGGCTTTCCTAACATCTCTTTTGCATACTTGAGACGTTTCACACGGTTCATCTTACTAACATATGGTTTTTTCCGAGCAACTCGACCAAATAGTCCTATTTCATGTGCGCGACGTCGAACAGTCGACTGGCTGATGACGATTCCTAATTCCTTTTCCAGTTCAGATGTAACACTGCGAGCTGATTTTCGTCGATCGATTTTCAATTTCCTTTGGATCAATCGATCCGTCGTCGTTGTTGTCTTGCGTTTGCGACCACGGCCGAAAATATTTCCGATGCACTTCGTATTCTTGCATTTGTTTATCATCGATCGCACCATTTCTCGACTCAACCGAACTTTTTTGGCTATTTTCTCGTTGAGAATCGCCGTTCAAATGATGTTTGATCACAAGGCTTCGTAGGTCATCGCTATGTTCTTTCTTCTTTGGGGCCATGATGAGAGAATTAGGTCTTCTATAGAGAATGTGCACATATTTGTCTATTCGAACAAACTGTTCAAGTATCTTTCGGAATGTTCTCGAACGTTCTCGAAGATTGTCATGACTTTCAACGTGCTATTCGAAATACGACAGATATTTTTCCATAGGTGGGTGAATAATTTTGACGCGTTGAAAATTAGACAGCTGAATATATCTCATGAAATAAAATACTAGTACGAGGGAGTGAAATCTATGGCACACGTGGATGTTGACTAGCCACTATGAACTACCGAATGACACTGACGGTAGCCTTCTATTGTTGGTCTTTCCTCAGTGGTGAGTCAGAGAATGCTAGGTTGCAGGGGTGGGTGAATAATTTTGGCGGCCACTGTAGGTAAAAGAGAGCAAAGATAGAATGCGAATAACTATGGTCTTGTGCTTTCCAGTTTGTAGATGGGTGGAAATCTGCCCAGGTCAAAAAAACGGTCACTGATTACAATTGGCATACACAGCAAATTATGATCGTGTACTGTAACGTAATACGCTGTAAATGGCGGTAATCTGACGTAATTTGGCAG